TTTAGGAAAAAGATCTTAATTCTGCTCCCTCAATTAAGGATTTTTAAGCCTCCAGCTAGTTTTATCCAGAGAGGCCTAGTCGTGCAGGGAATTTCCCCTACATGGTGGCATTGCGAGGGGTGGCTGTGCTGTGATGTCACCTGGGCTGTGACTTTGTCTCTCTTTGGAGCGGGGTGGATGGGACGTGCCTGGCAGCGAGAGGAGCCGGGCTGGCACAGCGCTGGGAGCGGCTCCTCGGCTGGGCTCTGCTCCCGGGCAGGCAGGCAGGGTCACTGGGCTGTGTCTCGTGTCCGGGTGCCCTGCTGGGGCTGGCAGAGCTGCTCCAGGGCAGCATCAGCTGCTTCCACCCCCAGGAGCAGGGGAACCCCAGTGAGGATCCCAGATCTGCTCCTCCCATCCCAGGAGCCTGATGGCAGACGGAGACAGGAGCGGGGCTGGTCCCCTGTGCTGGGAACGGGGCAGGCTGGGGCAGGCAGCTGCTGCCAGATCCTGCCTGGCTGCATTTGGGCTTCTCTGGAGAGCTGTGTGCCCTGTGCTGCTCCAGCACTGTGGCTGAGGGGAGTCTGGCAGCTCTGCCAGCATTCCTGACAACACAGCAAAGCAAACAGCCTGAATTCTGCACTGCAGAGATGGTGGCAGTGTCAGGGTTGCTCCAGGTGGCACCTTCCACCCCAGCCACAGGAACAGCTGCACTGCCAAGAAAAGATCTGCTGTCTCAAGAATCCAATCAGTACAGATCCCTGGCATGCCAATCAAGAGGGTGGGAAACACAAAAGCAGGGAAAAACCCCAACTGAGCAGGCACTGAACATCCAGGAGCCATCCCCATGCTGAAGTGGGAGGCAGTACTGGAGAACAGCTCAGGCTTCACTTTGTGCACAGCCCACAGCAGCCATTTGAGGAGGTGAGCATGTTTCTGGCACTGCACTAAATCCTGGGGCTGAATTACTCCATCCACCCACAGCTGTGTGACAAAACCAACCAGTCCAGCCCTTCCTTCAGAACTGCCCTGTCCTGTCACAGGAGACATCCTGCAGACAAGCAGCCCTTTAAGTGACCAGGAACAACAGAGTGATTGAGAGGACACAGAGGTGAAGTGATGAGCTTCCTTCAGGGCACAGGTGGAGAACACTTGTTCCTGCTGTGAGAGCAAGGCAGAGCGTGTCCTGGCTGGGGTCTCCAGTGGTCTGTGCTGGTTCCCTCTGTACCAGCCAGCCCCAGAGGGTGCCCATGCTGCCCCAGTGGCCCCTGTCCCCCTCTGCTGCCCAGCTGTGGGTCAGTGTGTGACCCTGCGCAGCTGCCGCCAGCCCCAGGTTTAGCACTGGTGTTTGCAGAGCTCAGAGCCTCGGAAATTCACAATGTTTATTTGCTCCTTGTAACTGAAGATGTCCCTCAGCACTGGAGAGGTTTCCTGGGAAAAGACGTTCCTCAACAAATAAATAATTTCCCGGGCGGGGATGAGGACGGAGGAGCAGCTGCTGGCTGGCTGCAGGGCACGGCCCAGGGCTGGTGCTGCTGCACAGGGAGCCCTGGCCCTGTGCCCTGGAACGCTTCCAACAGGACCAGATGTTTCTGCCCAGCACAGCGGGACCGGCCCGGAGCGGATGGTGTCAGTGGGAGCTGGCAGCACCCACTCCTGGACCCATTCTGCATCGGGGACAGGGGCTGGGGGAGGAGGGGCTGCAGAGGACAGGGGCAGATGTGAGCTGGATAATCAGAGTCCTTTAGGATGGAAAACACCCTCAAGATTGAGTCCAACTGTAAACCAAATATTGCTGAGGAAAGCCTAGGACCCGCCTCCCTTGGCTGGTGTTTGCTGCGATGGACACAATCCCCGGGCCTCCTAATGTTTCTGGCATTGCTCCTGTCACCGCTCCTGTCACTTTCCTCCTTCAGGACAGTCCTTGGCTGCTGCCCTGAGCGCTGCCACAGGGCTGACCCTGGTTTCTGTACACAGTGGGACATGTGGGCAGCGGGACATGGAGGGACATGCCAAGTGCAGGGAGCTTGGGAGCGACCACCTGGGCACTCCCAGTGCCCTCGGCTGTGCCATGCCCAGCACAGGCACGCTGGAAGGGCTGGCCCTGCGTGCGAGCAGCGTGTCTGGTGCATCTGTGACCCCGAGCCCCAGGCTGTGAGGCCTGGCAGGGAAACACGGCATCCCGCTGGCCTCGCAGATGGCCTGGGTCTGCCCAGGGCAGCCGCCCGCGCCCGGCCCTGAATGCCCGTTTTGTTGGCCAGGCTGGGGGAGGCCTTGCCCCGCGCTGCCCTGGTCCTGCTGCTCCGTGAATACGGGCAGTGTGTGCACACAGCGCCGCAGGGCTCAGCTCCCGCCGGCCCGGGGGCAAAGGTGGCCCTGGGGCTGCCAGGGCTGGGGGCTGCTGCCTGCTGGGGCTGCTGGCTCCCAGCCAGCCTGGCTGTGCATCCCTAGGGAGATGGAGAAAGCCCCTGCACCAGGCTGAGCCCAGCCATGAGAGCCGTGCCGTGCCGTGCGTGCTGCCAGGGAAGGGGTGTCTGCAGGTGCACCCCACCAGCCCAAGGGGTTGCCATGGTGAGGCCGGGGTGCTGTGGAGCTGGTGCTGTAAGCCTGGGAAAGATTTCTGTTTCCACTGGTGAGTGAGTCAGCGGCGGCACCGCCAAGGCCCGTGCTCCCCTCCCTTCCCTCCGGCCACCGCCACCGCCCGCTGCCCAGCCCTTTCCCACAGCTGCTTGGGGTCGTCAGCCTTGGCACCTGTGTCCCCACATCACACCACGTCCCTGCACCTCCCTGCGCTCCTGGAGACTGACCAGAGGCCCTGGTGGCACCAATGTTCTCCCACCAAACATGTCCCAGCATGGGCAGCAAATGGGTGGGGGCACAGCATGAGGGCTGTGGTGCTGGCACTGAGCCTTCTGCTCCCCGGGCATGACCTGGGGGCTACTGGCATGGCTGGGCACCGTGTCCCAAGCAGAGCCCTCTGCCAAGCCCCAGGTCCTGGAGCCTGGCAGTGCCCAAACAGCTGAGCTGCAGGGGATCCAGGTGGAGGCAGCTTGTGGGGTGGAACAAGGACTGAAGTCCTGGTGCACCCTCAGTGGGTGCCAACAGACTGCAGCCATGGGCAAGCTCTGGCCGGGATGTCACCTGCCCTCTGCGCATCCTGCCCACCCAAAGACTGGCCACCCCCAGCTCAGCTCAGCCCCGAGACAGCTCAGCACTGGGCTGGCACCCTGGGGAGAGCAGGACGCCAGCCTGGGCAGCGGGGCCAGGAAGGAGGCAAAACCACCACAAACAAACCAGCCCGGCCAGTAACTGAGAAGGGGGGGTGGGCTCAGGGCTCACTGCCCGGCTGCACCGAGGAGATTTTGGGCACCAGAGCCACCTGCCCAGATGGCCTCAGCTGCCCTTCCCCAGGCGCCACATCGCTGTCACGGGGGCTTCGAGCACCACAGCCCCCCAGCATCCCTGCTCAAGCTTCATTTGCTGCTTGCTGCTGAACTGAGAGATTTTAATCTTTTAATCACGTTATGAGCCGAGGTGGTGCCGGCCACGCACAGGAGGAATGTCTGGAAGTCAGCAGCGCTGTCGCAGCGGGAGCCCATCCTGCCCCCACCCACGTGTCCCCACTGTGTCCTGCTTGGGGACTCCTGTCCTGCCCAGCCTGCCTTGTCCTGCGGCCGAACTGGGACCAGGGGCAGAACGTGGCACCAGAGAGCAGGACCAGCCATCGGGGACCCGTGCCAGAACAAGGATCAGCTCACAAAGGGCTGCTGGGACTGAGACTCCCCTCCAGAGCCCGAAGGACCCGACACAACGCAGTGCTCTGACCATGTGGGTTTCATCCCTCCCTCCCCGTGTTTTCTGGCCGAGGGGAGCGGAGGGGTGTCCGTAGCCCAGCCCAGCACAGCGCGGAGCCACGGCAGCCCCTGCGGAAGAACAACAAAGCCCTGGAATTAGAGATGTGCTGGGAGTTTACTTTACCACAAAAAAATGTCAGAAATCCGTATTGTTTGTACAGGGATTTGCTGGGGATCGCTAGATAAAAGCCTGGCAGGGACCCAGTCGGGGGGGAAAAGTCGGCCGGCTCCTTTTTGGTGGCGAAGACCCACGGCCAAACGAGGGGGCTGTGCATGGCAGGGACAGGGACAGGGACAGGGGCAGGGACAGGGGGGACAGGGGCAGGGGGTGCAGGGGCAGGGACAGGAGCAGGGGCAGGGACAGGGGCAGAGGCAGAGGCAGGGACAGGGGCAGAGGCAGGAGCAGAAGGGGCAAGGATAGAGACAGGGGCAGGGACAGGGGCATGAGCAGGAGAAGGGGCAAGGACAGGGACAGGGACAGGGGCACAGGAGAAGGGGCAGGTGGTGCCGTGAGCCAGAGGAGGATCTGGGAGCAGCGTGGGGCCAGCAGAGGGGGAGCCAGGCTGCCCCGCGCCTGGCACCAGCCTCATGTCCCCGCAGTGGGAAACCTTTCCGCATGCAGGGACGCGCCGGTGCCAGCTCCGCAGCCGCCGGTGCGTGCGGGGCCCGGCGGGGCCGAGGGGCCGCTGCCCGCACACACGGCCAGCACCGGGAGGGCGGGGGCTGCTCTCACCCGGGCCCCCCCCGGGGCCCCCCGGCAGCTCCGCGCTTGCCAAGCTCGGAGCAGCCCCAGGGCAGCTGCTCGCCGTGCCCACGCTCAGCTGCTCCGCGCCCGGCACCCGCCTCGGCTCCCGGCGGCTCTGGGGCTGCAGTTCGGGCTGGACGGAGCCAAAGCTGCTCCCCAGGACCCGGCAGGGACCGGGACCCTCCTGCCTCTGCAACGCCCTGGCACCGTGCTGGTGCTGCTGGGGGAACGTGGGGTGCCCGCCCTGGGCAGAGGTGCCTGCAAGGTGTGACAGCAACCCCTGGCACTCCTGGCCGTGGAAGTCGGGTCAGTGGACGAGGAGGGCGAGGGACAGGGACAGTGAGGGATGGGGACGGTGAGCACCCACCCTGCCCGCTCCTCCCTGCCCAGCTCCAGGACAAATGACAGCACACGCAGCCCGCTCTCACATCTGTTATGTTTTAGTACTGCTCACGTCTAAAATGACCAAAACCAAGCCAAGCAGCCCCTTGCTCTGCCTCACACCGAGAGGGAGAGGCCGGAGGGCTGCCCTGCCCAGTGCTGGGTGCGGGCAGGGGAGAGGGCAGGTGAGAGGGCAGGTGAGAGGGCAGGTGAGAGGGCAGATGTGAGGGCAGGTGACAGGGCAGGTGACAGGGCAGGTGTGCAGGTTGCTGTGCAGGCTGGACACTCCAGGCAGGCTCCTCCACGCCTGCTGCCGAAGGGGACTTGCACGTCCCCTTGCATCCAGTGAATGCATTTAAATAACAAACTCATGATCAGCAAAAGCAGAGGCATCTTAACCACACTTCCTAAAATAGCGACTGGCACCTGTTCCTGACGCCTGGCAGTGAGGGGGCCCGCCCTCCCCACGGGGCACACGAGGGCACAGGGCTGTCCCGGCACTGGCACGGCTGGCAGCGGTGGCACTCGGGCGTGCGGGGAGCGTGGCCGGGCTGGGGCGGTGCAGGAGGCGCTCAGGGCGCTGCTGCAGGGCGGGCGGTGCCAGCAGCGGCACAGGGACGCGGGGCTGGGCTCCTTGTGTCCCCGGGAAGGCGAGGCTGGCCGAGCTGCCACGGCCCCAGGGGCCACGTTGTCACAGGGGTGTCTGCTGGGGGCTGCTCTTGCGTGCTCCCCCTGCCCTGCAGCACGGTGGGCACGGCGCAGGTGATGGGGAAGGGTTTGGAGTGGAAGCCAGGCTCTTGCCGCAGCCCTGGCTGGAGTGGGGGTGCCAGGGCCGGGCTGCGTCAGGGTGCCCCAGCCAGGCACGGCGCAGGGTGGGCACAGGAGTGCAGTGGGACCCGCCCGGGCACTCAGACCACGAAGCGGAGCCCGTAGGTCATCTGATGGCCGTTGTCCCAGGCATAGAGCACCTTCTCCTTGGGGTTGTAGTCGACCTGCGTGGTGAAGGAGTAGTGGTTGAGGAAGGGCAGTCGGAGCTCTGCCTCCGTGTCTGTGTGCGTGTCGAAGGCGTAGGAGATCTGCCCTTCCTTCTGGCTGTAGGTGTCCACAGCATAGAGGATGCCACAGATGATGAAGCAGTTCCCGTACGTGTTGCGCTTCAGCCCCGTCTTCCAGGTGGTTTCCTTGCGCACCGAGAGGTCCACGGGGTCAAGTCGGCTGAGGACGATCACCTCCTGCTGGGAGTAGTCGTAGTCCACCGAGGGGTAGATGACCCAGAGCCCGCTCTCATCCACAGCGAAGTCGATGTCCGAGTGGCCCCTCCACTTCCAGGGCGTCGTGTCCTCGTACACCACGTCGTGGAGCTGCGCCCAGCCTGCCACGTACCGCTCCTTCAGGTCGTACTTGATGATGTTCTTGGTGAAGGCACGGTTGTAGTAGAAGGCCCCTCTGTACACCACGTGCCCGGTGCCAATCCAGTTGTAGGGCAGCTTATAGAGGTTGCTCCAGCGGCCTGTGGGTGGGTGGGAGAGGTGTTGGGACCCTCCACATCACAGAGGTGCCATGCACGATGGCCAGAGCATGCTGGCAGCAGCAGGGGACTTGTGTCACCCTTGCTGACCTCTGTACGCCCCCCTCAGCTGCCCACCGCCCCAGGGCCCAGCACAGCTGGTGTCACACAGCACTGCACACCCCCCCAGGAGGAGCCAGGGCCCCTGTGCCCCTCACCCTGCTTGAAGTTGTCGAGGCTCCTGAACTCCACCAGGCTGTTCCCATAGTAGTAGTTGGTGACGTAGATGCGGCCATCCTTGGCTGCCGGGTCCTTCATCCAGGCCCCCTCGTTGCGCCCGTAGCTGTGGTGCTCCGTGGGGGGCTCCACCGACTCGATGGTGCCTTCGCACTCTGCCTCCTTCACTGGGTGCCCAGGGGAGGAAGAGGAAGGCTTATCCCTGCCCAGGCAGCTGACTCCTGCTCCTTCCCGTGGCAGATTCCCGCTGGCTTGGCTTGGCCAGGGGCACTGGGAACACGGGGTGCCCTCTCCAGCCGCCCCCGCTCACCCGCTCACCTCGGTTGGGTGTCTCCCCGGTGCTGTCAGCGCCCTGCCCCAGGGCGGTGCCGCGCGGGGCCGGGGCGGTGCTGGGCACAGCCGTGCTGCTGGGCACGGTGCCCTCCGTCTGCGCGACAGCTTGGGCTGGGCTGCCCTCAGCTGAGGGGGGCGGGGGGCCCCTGTCCTCCTGCTGCTCTGACACGGCTGCCCCTCTCCCAGGGCCCTCTGTGGGGGGACGAGCCGGGGGTCAGCGCGTTTGCAGGGGCAGGCCCTGGCCCCCCACCTCGGTGAGAGGTGCCCCCCAGCCCTGCCTTGCCCCCAGACTCACCGCGGCTGCCGGCCGTACCCTCCGCCGCTCCCGCCTGCCCGACCTTGTAGTAGGTGATGCCTCGGACCACCGTCTGCTGCTGCGCCAGGGGCTTGGGCTTGGCCGTGGGCTGTGACCCCGCCCTGGCCTTGGTGCTCTCCTTTTTGGGCTTTTCGGGCTTCAGCGGCTTCTCCTTGGGCGCTCGGGGGCCTGCCCTGTCCCCCAGAGCCTTGCGGGTGCTGGGGTACCGTCCTGCCTCCTTCTCTCGGCCACCTGTCGTGTCCTGGGGGGCACAGCCTGGTCAGACCCCCTTCCCTCCCATGCCCTCCTCTTCCCTGCCACCACTGTGCCAGGCAGTGGGCACAGGCACCAGCCCAGGGGTTACCCCAAGGATCCTCCACAAGCCTGGGGGAGCTTGGCCATGCCTGGCAGCACCCACTGTGCCTGCATGGGGCTGTGCCCTGGGGTACCTGGGCCCTGGGGTAGCTGTGCCTTGGGGTACCTGTGCCTTGCTCTCGGGGATGGCAGCCGCATCCTTCTGCAGCAGCTGGTAGCCCAGGTTGGAGATCTCCTTCTTGATGCTGATCATGATGTCAGAGTAGTTCTCGTAGCGTTTCATCTGGTCGGTGAGGTGCTGGACGCTCTCCTTCATGAAGTCATTCTCCCTGCTCAGGTTGGTCTTGATGGTCTGCAGGAGAGGAGAGGAGAGGCTGGAGCCCGTTCAGGGAGCTCACAGACAGTCCTGAGCTGTGCAGGGGGAGCACCGCGGGGATGGGGCAGCTGGAGCTCGCTCACCTCCTCCAGCGTGTTCATCTGTGCCACCACCTTGCCGATGTAGGAGTGCACCTTCATCAGGTCCATGCTGTACAGCGTTCCCTCCAGCAGGTCCACCATGGCCTGCAGCTGCAGAGGGGATGAGGGATGGGGCCTGGGGTAAGGGCTAGGGCACGGGGCACAGGGCAGGGGCACGGCGTGGGGAGCGGGTCTGCCCCCCAGTCCCACCACACCACAGATACCTTGAAGAGCTCAGGGGCCTGTTTCTTCAGCTTCTCCATCTTCCACTCATTCTCGCAGGGGTTGAGTGAGGAGGGGGGCGCGGTGCAGGAGCACTTGCAGTCAGCCCCCGAGCTCACCGTCTCCACGGTGTAGAAATCCTCCACGCGCGCGCTGCCGCTCCTGACGCGGCTGCAGGCGTCCTTGCTCAGCGGCCGCAGGATGCACTTGCAGCGGCAGTCGGAGCCCTCTGAGGTCATCCGGACCTGGTCCACATCGCCCAGAGCCTGCGGGACACGTGATGAGCCCGGTGTCCCACCCGGGTGTCCCGCAGGGCCTCGCCAACCCCAGCAGACCATCACAGCCAGCTCCCTCACTGCCGCTTGCCCAGAGATGTCCCACTGCCGCCGGGGCTCGTGGCTGTGCCCAAAGGAGTGAGGCACTGTCTGGTCCAGAGCACCCTGTCCCACCAGGCTGGCAGAGACAAAGCCCACGGAGCTGCTCATCCCTGCAGTGTTTTGTGGCCCAGGTACTTCAGTCTCATTTCTGTGGCTGCTTCCCAGCCTCCAGCAAGACCTCAGCGAGCAGGGATGGTGGCAAGAAGACCCAGCAGCGCCTCTGTGCCCCCGCTGCAGGGCTCCGAGCCCACACAGGCTCCGTTGTTTGCGGTGACATGCAGCCACCTCGGGGTGAGCTCGGCCCCTCAGTCTGCCGCGATGGCCCGAGGCACAGGCTCAAGGACTCCCTTGTTTCCACACATGGCCCTGATTCACGCTACGGAGCCCAGGGTGCTTTTCGGCTGCTTTAGCTCATTTCTCCCGCTGTGCTCAGGAACAGGGGAGCTGAGTCCCTCCCGACCCCTGCCACCGGCTGTGCACCTGCGGGGGACCCCCGGGCTGGCAGGAGCACGGCCAGGCCGCTCTGGGTGTCCCATGTGCCCGCTCCAAGCACCCCGCAGGGTGGGAGAGCAGGGAGAGGCAGTGCGGTGACCCCGGAGGGACAGGGCTCTGCCCACAGGGACTCTGACTCATCCTGGGAAAGAGAACGGTGGCAGAGCTGGGAAACAAGCTGAGCTCTGGCTCCCGGTCCTCCCCGGACCACAGCGGAGCGCAGAGCGGCGTGGGAAAGGGCACAGGCCCGCGGGCTCCACGTCCTGCCACAAGGCAGCAGCCAGGGCCGCCCGCGCAGGGATGCTCCTTGCTGCCGCAGGGCTGCTGCGCTGGTGGCACCGGGGCACTCCCTGAGCCGGGCACGGAGCTCCCACAGCCCACACGGGCCAGGGGCTTCCTCCCCTTTCTGAAGGGCTGCAAAACTTCACACATTTTGCATTTCAAAAAACCCTCTTTCGTTCAAAGGGAAACCAGGTCCTGCTGGCTGAAGGGAAACACCAGGAAGCCAAAGGGCTGTAAATTGAGCAGAATCTAATCAAGTTCTCAGCAGGGAGCGGGGCAGGGACCCCCTCCCCAAACACCACCTCGCCAGGCTCGCACGTCCCCGGGGCCCCTGACCTCCCCCACGGCCACTGCGGCGCTTGTGCAAACAGGCAGGACGGCTCCAGCCCGGCCAGAGCCGGCGGCACACAGCCAGCAGCGCCGGGAGCTGGGCTGTCCCGGCCGGCAGCGGGCACGGCACTGCCCGGTGAGCACGCATCCTGCGGGAATCCCAGGAGAGATCCCTGCACTACGCCCGGGTATCTCCGCACCGTGCCCGGGTGTCCCCGCACCGTGCCCCGGTGTCCCTGCACCGTGCCCGGGTATCACTGAACCGTGCCCGGGTGTCCCCGCACCGTGCCCGGGTGTCACTGAACCGTGCCCGGGTGTCCCCGCACCGTGCCCCGGTGTCCCCGCACCGTGCCCGGGTATCTCTGCCCGGGCCGCCGCCCACCTTCGCGTGGGGCCGTAACACTAAACCTCGCTGCGCCGTCTGCCAGCTTCCCTAAACAGGAACTGCATGCTCTATTTATACAGAAAAGCCCATAAGCGAGGAGGTATTAAAAAAGAGGCTCCCAGGCGGGGAGACTCTGTGAGGGTCGCCCACCCGGTGCCTCGGCTGTGCCCTCTGCCAGCCCCTGCCCGGCTGTGCCCGACTCCACAGGGACAGCCCACCCCAGGGCGCGCACAGGTGGCTGGGGATGTGAGTGCAGAGGGCAGCCCACGCTGCTGTGCTGTGCTTTCTCCAGGTGGGAATCTGTGAGCTCCCCAAGAAACCTGCTGGGGGGCTGATGCAGCCCTGCAGGGGCTCTGGGGATTCTTTCCCTGGATCCCCCACTCACTGCAGACCCCAGCCCAGGGTGCTGGCAGGTGGCTGCTGCCTCTCCTCCCTCCCCGGGGGCTGCACAGCCATGGCTGTGTGGGAGAGTGTCCCTGCACTTTGCTGAGGGTTTCCTCACTGCAAGTTTTATGAGCTGGGTAATTTTCCCGGTTTCCGGGACCTCTTGCAAGAGCATCCATGTGAGCACAGAGTTTGTGACATTATTTGGAGAAAGCGGGACCTTTGACAGTGACCCTTGGCCAGCTTTTAAGCTGTCCCTTGGCTGCTGCCAGAAGACTCGTCTCGGAGGAAAACACGCTGTGTTGATAAGCTGCCGCACTGCACGCCTCTGGCACAGCTGCGGGGAGGCATGTCCCCGTCACACAGGGGAAAACATGTCACCCTCCTCTTCCTCCTCCTCCCAGCTTGGCACAAGGTGTCAAACACGTCCTGCAGCTGAGGCAGAACGGTGCTGGCAGGGCTGGGCCGTGGCTGACGGCAGCCAGGCCCCGGGCGTCCCGTGTTGGTCACGGGGACACAGCCATGCCAAGCGCTTGTGTGGCACACGCATGCCCACCGATGGGATCCCATCCAACGGCAAGAACGGAGAAAACACCTCTGAGCACAGCAGGCAGCACCTGCGGGGAGGGAGACGGCACCGCGTGGATCGCTGAGTCCTGCCAGCATCACCCCTGGCACCCTGCCGGGAGCCCAAGCAACAGGGCATTCCAGGCTTCGGATATCTGTTCCAAGCTAAGTGCTGCCCGACAACAGCTGTGTCAGCGTCGTTTCCCACCAAACGTCTTGGAAAACCCTGTCTTTTTAACATTTGGTGATCCTAGCAGTAGCTGCTCCCACCGCCATTCCTCTGGGCTGGGTCCCGGTGTCCCTGCTCCGGCCCCGCTACGGCCACTGACCCCGTGGGAGACGTCTTCCAGCTGGAACCGAGGGCTCCTGGACGCAGGGGGAGGCTGGCTCCCCCCCTGCCCGGTCCCGCTCCTGCTCCTCATCCCCGCGGGGAAGGCTTGTCTGGGCTGCTCTCTCTGGCACGGAGTCGCTCCCTGCAGCGCCCATCACCGCAGCGCCGGGGCTTGGGCACCTTCCAGCCGCTCGAACGCGCCCACAGCCCGGGTCATTCCCTGCGCCGAACCCCCGCCGCGATGGGAGCACCGGCACCCGAAGCCCGGCCTTTCCCGGGACCCCCGCCCGCTGCCCGTGTCGGGCCGCGCCCCCGCCGCTCCGCCCGGGCACGGAGAGCAGCGACCGCCGGGGACACCGGGGCTGCCCCTGCCCGCTCCCGACCACCGCCGTGATCGCTCCCGGCCACGATCGCGATCCCGGTCCCGGTCCCGACCGCAGTCGGTGCCGGTGCCGGTCCGACCCGTCCTTACCGTGGCGGCGCCGCGCACCGCGGCCAGCGCCGGGAGCAGCAGCGCGGGGAGCAGCAGCGCCCGCATGGCGAGAGCGGCGGTGACCGCCCGCACCGAGCGCCCGCTCCGCCCGGCCCGGCCCGGCCCGCCCGCGCCGGGGCTCCCGCCGCGCCGCGGCTGCCCGGTGCCCCGCGCCGGGGCTCCCGTCCCTCCGCGGGCTGGCCGATCGCTCCTCTGCGGAGGCGGTGTCCCCCGGAGCCCGCCCGGAGCCTCGCCGGGGCTGTGCGGTTTCCCCGGGCTATGCCCCGTGCCCGGTTTCGCCCCTCTCGCGGTGCCCCGTGCCCGGTGCCCGGTTCCCCTCTCCCGGTGCGCGATGCCGCGGGCGGCGCTCGGGGCTCGGCCGCCGAGTGCC